GGAGGGAGGGAGAGGAGAGGAGAGGGAGGAGGGTGGAGGGTGGTGGAGGGGGTGCTCCGGGAGAAGGCGACATCTGTTCTCCATGCATATTTCATAAAGGAGAAATGGAGAGATGGGAGCCAGCCTGGAAAGGGGAGAGGGAGGTGCAGACGGGCAGGAGAGTCCCCGAGCCCGGGCGGGATGAGGAGCAGCGTCGGCAGGAGACCCCACGGCACAACCTTCTTGCTCTGAAGCCCCCACGGCCGTGGCTGGTATCCACGCGTGTCCGTGTGCCACACGTGCCCTCTGAGTGTCCCACAGCTCTGGGGTGCACCCGTGGGTGGCCGGAGCATGGACAACCAACCCCTTGGCCCTGCCCTTGAGGTGCTGCCAAACTCACCCGAAATAAAGTTTGGGGAGGAAAGAGAGGGAAAGTGAAAGGAAGAGGTGACCCAGAACACCCAGGTATCGCTACGAAACACCCGTCCTCTATTAACTACGAAACACCCATCCTCTATTAATCCCCCCAAAAACGACCTCTTTTGTGGGTCAGACTCGGTCTCTGCCTCTCACCCTTCTCCAATTTCCTGTTAAACTCTCGTTTTGGGAAATTCTGCTCCGATTTATCCTCATTATCAATGAAATCCCTGCGTCCCCCATCCCTGTCCTCCTCTCCCTCCCTGCAGTTTGCTTGGGGGGGGGTCTCCCACCTTCCTCCCCTCCCTCCTGCCACCGCTGGAGGTTATGTGTGTCCCCCTCCCTCACCTTCTCCCCCCAACCCCAGGCCCCAGGGGCTGGTCCCCCGTCCCCTGCACGGCAGGAGAAGCCCAGGTGATGGGCATCTCCACCTGGGCGGCCTCCAGCCCCATGGCAGGGATGGGCAGATGGGCTCGGGGGGGGGTGAGGAGGGGGTGGATCAGGTGGCGGGGAGAAGCACCGTCCCCCCCTGTCCCCCCCCCCATTGCTATGGCACCGATTAGAAAACAATCTTTGCTTAATGAGCCCGTGGCCGTGGGGCCACCACCGCCCCGAGATGCCACGCAGCCATCCCACATCCATCAACCCCCCCCATGGATCCCTCCTCTCTCACATGGGGGGGACACACGAGAAGCACCTCCACATCTAGAGGGGGGTGAGCATCCTTCACCACCCCCCCCTCCAGCCTTCCACCCCCCTCATTCCCCTGCCCCTGCACACACGTGTCCCCCCCCTGCCCCACAGCACTCCCTGCCTGGGGCACCCCCCATCTCCCCGGGGAGCCCGACGGGGGTGAAATAAATTGCATTTCTTTCTCGTTCTGCTCTGCCTTGTCCCTCCTCCGTTCCCCGTCTCGCCTGCTCGCCCCCAGGGCCAGCTCCTTCTCCCCCTGCCAGGACGCCAGCAGGGCCCCCACCTCTTTCCACAGCTGATGCTGGGCTGCTCCGGGCATCCTGCCGGGCTGGGCTCGGGGAGGAGGGGAGGGAAGGAGGGGGATCTGGCTGCTGGAGCCCCTTCCCATTTGGGGACGCCAAAGCCCTCGCAGCCACGGCGGCGTCCAGGCGAAGCGGGCAGCTTCGGGCTCCTGCTCGAGTTCTCGGAGGGGTTGGCAAATCCCTCCTCCCACCCCAAATCCGTGCAGGTCGCCCGGGGAGCAACGCATCGGTGCCCCGTGGGGATAGAAGCTGCCCGGTTTGTCCCCAAGGTGGTGGAGTCCCCATCCCTGGAGGCATCTTAAAGACGTGTAGATGAGGTGCTGAGCGACGTGGGTTGGTGGTAACGGGGCAGTGCTGGGTTCATGGTTGGACTTGATGATCTTAAAGGTCTCTTCCAACCTAAATTGTTCTATAATTCTATGATTCCATGACCCCAGCCCTCTCTGCTCGGCTGCAGTGACACCAGCACAGCCACCTCCTCCCAGCAGCCCAGGTGTGTCCTCCCCCCATAACGTGGCCACCTCAACTCTGCCCTGGGACGATGCAGACTCTCAGCCTCCCTCCTCCCCCAGGGAAGAGTTGAGGTTGTGAAGGCCCCTTCATGGAACCATAGAATGGTTTGGGTTGGAAGGGACGTTGAAGCTCATATGGTTCCACCCCCATGCCCTGGGCAGGGACCCGTCCCACCAGCCCAGGTTGCTCCAAGCCCCCTCCAACCTGGCCTTGAACCCCTCCAGGGATGTGGCAGCCACAGCTTCTCTGGGCAACCTGGGCCCAAAATCTCCCAGCATCCAAATTCTGCACTTCCAGGAGGGAGGAGTTCACCTGGGGACATCCCTCAGGAAAAAGGGGGGCTTCTTGTACCCTGGAAGTGCCAAGGGGCAGGATGCCACCCTGATTCTAAGCCCTACTCAGTGCCCACACACCTCCTTGCCAAGACAAGTGGTTCATGGAGGGTGAGACAAACACCAGGAGCTGGGGGAGATGAAGCCACAGACACAGGTCTCATGAGAGGGTGAGGGAAGAATGAGAAACTCAAGACCTTTCCCCTCCCACCCAAGACAATATCCCCCTCGCCAGGGGCTGAAATCCTCCCTGGTCCCCACTCGGAGCCTGTAGGAGCTGCCGTGGTCCCTGGGATTTTGGCTGGTCCTCATCCTCTGCCTCCCCAGCAAGAACCCCCGAGCTTTGAATATGCTAAGGCTGGTCCAAACCTGGTGAGATTTTGGAAGGGAGAACAAGGGACCCTTTTCCTTTGTCCTTCGCTTCAGAGTTTTCCACCTTCCCAACTGGCAGAACCTGGTATTCCCATCTCAAAACCACCCATGTTTCTGAGTCGCAGGAGCCCCCACGCCAGAACCTGCAGAAACCCCTCGTTTCCTCCAAAATTCCTGGCCTTTCTTTTCAACAGGGCAGAAAAAAGGCTGGTGCACGTCGGGTGGGAGCAGCCCCAGCTTCTGGACATTTCTCCGTGCCTTGGGCTTGACCCGCGAGGCTGATGGCCCCAGGCGTGGTGTTTCCATCCAAGGGGACGAAGCCCTCCAAGACCTGCCCACCACGACCCAGGAGGTTGAGGGAGGTGGCACGGGGCTGTGATTTGGGGGGAACCCGAGCCGGGATCCCCGCCTGAGTGCAGGGGGGGACACGGAGAGGAAGGGAGAGAGAGGAGAAGAGGCAGCATTTGGCAGAGGATGAGGCGACATATTGTACAAACCCACCAGGGACCACACTGGCCTGGGCTTGTCGGGGAAAACAGGCAGATTTAACCCTTGTGCTGCTGGAGCAGACCCAGCCGGAGCTTTGGAGCTGGTGTAGAGGGGCTGCACCTCCAAACAACATGGGGACACACACACCTGGAAGGAGATCCCTGCCCCAACTTATAGGCACTGGAAAGACAGAGTCCCTGGTGGGACGTTACTACTCCTGTCCATCAACCAGTACCTTTAATTCTCATGGTGGGACTGTGCACCATCGCTCCAGCAAGGACCCTCTGGTTGACAGCATGGGGGCCGGACCCCATGGGGTAATGGTTTTAACACGAAAGAGGGGAGATGGAGATGAGATGTGGGGAAGAACTTTGTTGTGAGAGCCTGGCTCAGGTTGCCCAGAGAAGCTGTGGCTGCCCCATCCCTGGAGGGGTTCAAGGGCAGGTTGGAGGGGGCTTGGAGCAACCTGGGCTGGTGGGAGGTGGCCCTGCCCAGGGTGGGGGGGGACAGGATGGTCTTTAAGGTCCATTATAACCCAAACCTTCATGATCCTATGAACAAAAGGCGCTGGGCTCCTGTGACCACTCAGCTGCTCACTCATGGCAGAGTCTTCCCTGGCAGACCTGCCCTTTTGGAGCATTTCCTGCAGCCGAGCCACCAGAGATCCCCCAGCGTCCCCAAAGTCCCGTTTGGTGCCACCAGACTTGGGCCAGAGCTGCAGAAGTGCACTTTTTGGAGGGGGGGGGGGGGGGGGGGGGGGGGGGGGGGGGGGGGGGGGGGAGTCTCGGGCAGGAGGAACATGAATCCCAAGGAGAAATCAATCCTATCCTGGCCGGGGCTTGAAATCTTGGAAACACGGTGCTCCCATCCAGCGGCTCTCGAAGAGCGGGTGCCAGCTCCATCACGCCTGGTTTGCAGCACGTTCTTTGCAACCCTGGGCCGGCTGGGAAGGTTCAGATGCTCCACACGGACGGCTCAAGGCCTTGCCAACCACTTGTGATGCTCAACCGGGGGATGCTCCAGCTCCTGGACTCTTCGCAGACGGCGAGCGGGAGGCAGAGTTAGAATCATAGAATTTTCCAGGCCAGAAGGGACCTCCAAAGGCCATCTAGTCCCACCCCCCCGCAGTCAGCAGGGACACCCCCAACTAGACCAGGTTGCCCAGGGCCTCATCAGGCCTCACCTTGAATATCTCCAGGGATGGGGCCTCAACCACCTCCCTGGGCAACCTGTTCCAGTGCTCCACCACCCTCACAGT